AATGGACAAGGCAGGATACTGTTATGTTAGACTGAAAGTTCTTGTTGACTTGGTATTGTGTCTTGTCAGTTGTAAGAAAGAGCCAATATGTATTCAATCTCAATTTTATAAGTTCTTTTTGGAGGTCCTTGTTATTATGTTCTGAAGGAGGACAAAGCCTCTTTAATGAGGCTTGATTCCCAAAAGAATGTTCTTTTCTACACAGTTATCCAATACTTTCCCCCTACATCCAATTGGCAGGTCACTAGACCTGTATTTTTATGTACATTAAACTGTAAGATAACTATTTGTGTCATGTTATTATTGTTTATTATATCACTATATAATTAAATAAATGGACTGAACTCGTGTAGTCTGCTCGTTGTTACTATAGCTTTTAACTACGTTTAAGGATTCAGCCTTTCATTGGGGTATCTACACATTGTTATTGATGTTCGTTTTTTTCTCACTTTGTTATTGCATTTGTCTTTTTTAATGTTTTACTAAATGTATTGAATAGATCAATTTGATGACACTAATATTATGCTCCAAGGCAAGGTACCTTGTCCTTGAGCATATGACCTCCACCATCAGCACTATGATTAGCTCTTTCTAGACATCCTACATTGCATGGATTGATGTGTTGGAGGGCCAATGATTAACACTTTCTGAGCATAAGATGATTTGACTGTACTTCATATTGCCAGCTTGGATACACCAAAAAGCAAGAAGAGAGACATTTCCGAGGAGTAATTACATTAGAGGTATGAACTATTTTGTTTATTTCTTGAATTTATGTTAGAATGCCTATGAACTTAATTGTTTTTTGCGTAGTTAAGAACAAGAAAGGGCCAAACAACCACACAGTATAATCAGTTCAAAGAAGTTCAGTTATGTCTTGTTAATATTCTTTCATGTGAGACAACGTTTATTTATGGTTAAGCTTCATATTTTTAGTGTGGCATATAATCATGGTTCTGAGTCTTCTGACATATTTGACTTAATAGAATTTGGAGTTGATTGGAATAATGACTATTGTTAAACCTTTCAGCATGGTAATACCTCTTTTGCTTTTGGATGTGCTGAACAGGAATGCAATATTGACGAGATTTCTGATGATGATGAGGCCTCTGCTAAGAGTTCCAAGGATAAAAAGTCCAATGGACCTGATTCTGGAAAAGCATCAAACCTTATTTTCAAGATAACCAGCAAGGTCCCATATAAGACTGTTATGAAAGGTAGTCACTCTTGTTCTAATTTATGCATCCTCCCCTTCCTGTACCAAATCCATCACGGATCTGTACAATGCCTAGACTGTGTCAATAATGAGACATACATTTTGCAGCTCAAAGTGCAGTTCTGTTGAAGGCTGAGAGCATGGCGGACAAGGTTGAGTGGATCAACAAGCTAAGAAATGTTGCACAGGCTAAAGGAGGTCAAGCTGTTACTGAACCAAGTTTTCCCATGCGACAGAGCCTTTCTGATGGTTCCCTTGTAAGATTTTTCTATAATGGGATTAATTTAATAAGACCAATTAAACACTTGAATTTGTTTTCTTCCCCCATCATTGGTTCTCATATTGCTTGGTTTGTTTGGGATTTATTTGTTGAATACCAATTTTTTTCCTCTAGTGAATAGGATCCTTTGCTTACTGCTTATAGTTTGTACAAGTTATAAACATGAACCAATTTACAGTTCATCTAGAATTTGGTTTTGTATTTTCATAACAATTTATTCATGTTGCAAAAAAATTTGCAGGATGCAATGGCCAGAAAACCTGCAGATCCAGAAGAGGAGCTCAGATGGATGTCTCAAGAAGTGCGTGGTTATGTTGAAGCTGTTCTAAACAGCCTTGCTGCTAATGTCCCAAAAGTGAGCTTAGTTTATCAACTACCTAATTCTTCTCTTCAGATTTGATGCTGTTCATAAGATCATTTCATTTTGGCTGAGCAGGCAGTTGTTCTTTGCCAAGTAGAGAAAGCCAAAGAAGACATGCTTAACCAGTTATACAGTTCTGTCAGGTTAGTGCTGTCTCTTTTTGCCTGAATGTCTGATGACCGTTGAGTGCAATGATTCTTAATAGATATTATGTAACGTTTCTACCTATATTCACTCCTTTCATGGCTCAAATGTTATTGTTCATTCAACCCAAGTGTTGTATTGACCACATATGTACGTATTTGGTGGTAATGTGAATGCTCCTATGCATCGTGTTTTTTCTAATGGTTTCCTTGGATATGTCTTGGATATCAACACAAAGACACTTTGTATGGAGGTAGGCGAAGTTTATGCAGTTGCATTGGGTATCTGGTTGGAGCAGTATGCTTGCCTGTTTTAGTATGTGCCTTAAATATTCAACTTGTCCTGGGATGGGATAATATTTTTGGGGTTCGATGTTTTGTCCATGGCTATTTCAAGGGAGTTTCTGTTTCTGATATTATATTTTTGTTTGCTCATGTCTTGCTCATATTTAGTATGATTTCGTGTTTGTGATCCTATCCTATTCCCAGTTGCGCTTTCCCTTTTTTATGTATAATATTTTTTTATGTTTCCTTAAAATAACAATACTTGAATCTTTGATTTATTTATTTTTCCTTAAAACATTTTGCTTATTTACAAATACTCTTCAGGAATGAAACATTTGACAGTGAAAATGGTTTTTTTAATGCTGTGGTTGTCAGTGCTCAAAGTTCTGCAAAAATTGAGGAGCTACTCCAGGAGGACCACAATGTCAAGCATAAAAGGGAGCGTGTTCAGAAACAGTCATCTCTTCTTTCAAAACTCACTAGACAGCTTAGTGTCCATGACAATAGGGCGGCTGCAGCATCCAATTGGTCTGATAGAGGGAATGCGGCAGGTATGTCTGTTTGCTTGAGGTGCATTCTTAGAATTTTCTAATGTGCCACATTATATAGGATTTACTATCAGTAAAAGCTTAGCTGGTATGCTATCAATTTGGGAAATACTATAACTTTTGCATCTTTTGAAGAAAGAATATGATGATAAGATGATAGTATATAAATTTCGTAGTAATTCTGTAGAGTTGTTGAACATATATATAATGTGTTGATTGCAAACTTTTTTAGTACTCACTAGTGCGTAGAATCAGCATAGGAATCAGTTAAGGTGTATGGACTGTATTATTTTATTGGAGGTGGATATAGTTTTATCAAACAATTTTTTGCAGAAAGCAGCCCAAGAAGCTCTGGACCCTCATCAGGTGATGATTGGAGGTCTGCGTTTGATGCTGCTGCCAATGGTCCGAGCGACTTGTCATCTAGATATGGTTCTGGTGGTCACAGTAGACGTTACAGTGACCCATCCCAAAATGGCGACGTTAGCTCAGGCTCAAATTCTAGCAGTCGCCGGACACCAACTCGGTTGCCCCCTGCTCCTCCACAATCTAGTTCAAGATATTAGATGAGCTACATATGGTTTTAATCACAATTATGCATTCTTGTCGGATGGACGCTTTTGTTTTTTGTTTTTTTTGTCCTGCTTGTATCGACTGTCCCTCCACCTTCTTTTAGTGACTTTAGTGGGAATGTTATAGGTTTGTAGATAAAGTATTGCTATCGCAGTCATCTTAAGGTCATACGCAGTATGTGCCCAATTTTATTCCCTTACTGGGCATGTGGGGGGCATTGTTGGGTGAGATGATTTTGTGTCTTCCCGACATTCTTTTCCTCTTACAGATGTAATTGTTTTGTATCCAATGTGATTATCGGCATTTATATCAATGCGCATTAATCACGGGTGTTTTTCTTGTTTTTCCTGCAACTTTATGTTATACAAGAAAAAGTTTGCGTGTTTTAATGATTAGAATTCACTATTTAACTATCGTCGTTGGTCATCAGTCCCTTGGCAATTGAAAAAGAACAATTCTAATTTTCTACTTTTTTTTCCTCTAATTTTTCTTATTTGATAAACGAAGGAAGCATTTTTTTTTTAAGGTAATAAATATATAAGCCTTTCATTTAATACTTGCTAATAATAGGAATATTAGGATGACAAGTAAGAAAATATAACAAAGTTTATTAAAAAATATTGAGAATTTTAGGGTTGCTTGTTTTACAGTTAATATTTTTTGTCCTTTTCAATAAAAGAAAACCTGTTTTAATAAAAATATATAATTTAGATTAATTTATATACATATTTTAATTATATTTAATGATTTAAATTAATTTTATTAAAAATAATTTTATTCAATTTTAAATCAAATGGGCACTTCATATAGACTGGAGAAATAATGGGACGTTGTGTAAGTCAGGAAGATAAGGATCTATCTTGTACACAAATTTTAAATAATGCTGATATTTTTCTTTTTAATGCATATTTGAATATTTTTAGTTCTTGAAAAAACTTTATTTATTTTAAATCTTTAAAAATTATAAGAAATTATTTGTTTCTATTGTATTGAAATTAACTTTTTACCGAATGTAAAGATTAAAACCAAATAAAATTTTTATATGTATTAAATAAATAACATTTTTATGAATCAAATGTATTTAAGATTTAAAGATAAATAAATGCTTTTTTCACGTAACTTTTAACTATTTGTATATATAGTTGTATGATTTAAATTTATTATTTTTATGTATTTAAGATTTAAAGATAAATAAATATGTTTTTTTCACGTAACTTTTAACTATTTGTATATATAGTTGTATGATTTAAATTTATTATTTTTATGTGTTTAGAATAAAAATAATGTTGAATATATAGAGCATGCTTTGTTTATATTAATAATTGAATCACAATTTCAAGAAATGTTATGGTTGAGCCATGACAATTTATTTATTTATTGTTCGAAGAGACATAACAAATTTTATGAATTGTTGTACGAATATGAAATGATTATTATTGTTACTAACCAAGTGATTATTTAATATCAAGATGTGATTAATGTTTATCGAGACAATTTAATACCAAGTGATGATTTAATATAAATAATACAAAATTTGAATTGGTAAATTTTCAACTAACGAGCGTATATTATCCAATCTTTTCGGAGAGGGGAGCGGTGAGTATAAAATTAGAGTGAGTGGGTGTAGTGTTCCGGAAAAGTTGGGATGGCAGTGGCAGCTGCGGTGAGGTGGTGCAATCCTTCCCCGTTTGTGATTGGATTTGGAGGTCGCAAATCGAAATTGGAGAAGGCGGAATCCCCTGGAATCGGAATCAGAATCAGTGCGCTCTTCTGGAATTGGGAATTTGGGAATAGAAACTCCCTCTCATTCTCCTCCTCCACGCAAAAGCAGCAGCAACAACAATTCACTTTCACTTTGAGAGATAGAGACGCATACACAGCTATTTGTAATTGTAAAGTGATAACAGTCTCATTTGCATCTTCAATCTCTGACGTTCCGTCCTCCGAATGGGACGCTTGTGCTCTCGATGCCACCGGCGCTGATAAGTTCAACCCATTCCTTTCCCATGCCTTCTTATCAACATTAGAACACTCTCGTTCCGCTGTTAAGGAAACTGGATGGAAACCTCACCACCTCGTTGCTAAGGATGAAGCCAACAACGTTGTCGCTGTCGTCCCTCTCTATCTTAAAACCCATTCCTACGGTGAATTTGTCTTTGATCATTCTTGGGCTAATGCTTACCATTCCTATGGATACAAGTATTACCCTAAGTTACAATCCTGCGTCCCCTTCACTCCTGTAACCGGTCCTAGGATCTTGCTTCGTAACACCTCTTTCAAACACCAAATCTTTGACAGTGTTGTCTCTGCAATGAAGGATCTCACTGCCACGGTAATCAACTAACTGCTATCTATTCATCCATCATTCTCTACTCTTTTATTATACACTGTGTTGTTATCTCTATGTATCTGTTGACAGTCCCAGCTTTCGTCATTACATGTTACTTTTCCCTCTGAAAATGAGTGGCTCAAATTCACTGAAAAAGGTTTCCTCCCGAGGATTGGAATGCAGTACCACTGGAAAAACCGTAACTACAAAAAGTGAGTAATACGGCATTTGCCATGTTCATAGATTTAGCCTGTTACTCCACTTTTCTGGCCACCCTTTTTATTACTCTTGGGGTGAGGAATTGATTTAATGAAAATTCAACTCTAATGTTTGGACTTCCTTTTTCGTGAATAAAAGTTTGGGGTATGGGATAATGGGAAGCTATCCCATTGCAAGGCCAAGGTATAAGTTTAGATTTTTTTTCCCTTCAACTTAAGTTTAGTTCCCCTTTTTTCTCTAATTGTCAAGGAACTCGTACACTAGAAACTGGCTAGCATACGGTGTCTCTGTCCTCAATCCAATCTTAAGTCTCAACTATTGTAAAATAATGCAGGTGAGCATTATAAAGTATTATTGGCCTCTTACTTATGCATGTGTTCTGTATTATTTCTTTTCCACCTCTAAATTTCTCATTATTTCCCGTCACTCTCAGTATCTTTTTATAATTTTTAATCTATTTGGAAGCCTTTAAATTATATTGAAATTGTTTAGCATTTAATTACTATACTTTATCTTGGTCCTAGAGCCTGCATCTCTTTTTTTAAAAGCAATAAAATTATTTCTCAGAAAAATACTGGACAGTGAAAAGGATCCAAACATTCATCTTCCTTCATCTTCTTTTTATTTGTCCAGAAAATGTCTTTGATTCCATGAAGAGACATGTCATATTATCTTTAACATTAGTTAATGCAAGTGTTTTTGTTATTTCATGTTGGCAGTTTTGATGAATTCTTGATGGACATGAAGCAAAGTAAAAGAAAAAATATACGTCAAGAGCGCAAAAAGGTTGGTATTAATTAAAAATACGTTCATCGTTGATGTGTGCAGATTTTTTTCGTCTTAAGAGTTCTATCCAGTAGCACTGTTAGTGTGCTGTTCTGTCTATTTGTCAATTATTTGCTCTTTTTCTTCCATCCTGGCTATGATAGCATAATTAGAATGTATTGCAAAAAATGCTTTCTTTTCTTTGGGTCACCGCATGCCAATTCTAGATTTTAGGTGGCATCGATTCAGTTGACCCAATAGTCGTAGCCACATAAATCATATGATCTCTTTATGCAGATCTCAGCCCAGAACTTGATTATGAAACGGCTCCGGGGTTATGAAATAAAGGTACTTTACATGGTCATGATGTATATATTTAAAAGATTGCATTTTCTTTATATACTGTCAAAGATTTAAATGCACAACATTTACAGTGGATGCTGTGTGGCAAATTAATATTTGACTATAAAAAATTATAATTTAGCTCTTCTAAAGTGAGGAGATGTGTGAACTGAAAAAGTGAGGGCTAATCTTACCTAGTGTTGATTTGAATTCATATATTTTACAAATATAACTAACTTTAGATCAACAGTGAGTAAACCGTTACTTTTTCACTTTACACATCACACTTTAGAGGAGTCAAATCCATAAAAATAGTGTGCTTTTCTGCGTCAGATTTAGTGATCTTCTATAGAATTGATCAAGGCCAATTTATGTCTTCCAGCAGACTTATAATAGGACAGAAAACTTGTATGAAATCATCGAAGTTCTCTGTCCTAACTAAAGCGGAGAAGAAATATTTACATTGGGAAGGATATTAAAATTCCCTTACGCTAAGATAGTAGCATATTTTGCTATTATCGTGAGTTTCTTAACACTCAACTAAGCCCTTTATATCATGTAGTTAAAATGGTTTAGAAGATATGTTCACTAGAGCATTCTCTCTCAACTACAGTGCTCTCGCTTTTCTTTCCTCATTTGACAGCAGTTCAGTTTTGGTGTAAATTTTAGTATAGTCCTACTGATGATTGTATTCTTTATGTATCCTTGAAGATATTACAATGGTGTATTTTATTGGGAAAACTTTAGGCTGTTATTCTTTCTACCTGCTATTTTACATGTTATGTTTTTTTGTATTGGAAGGCTAGGCACTGGGATTCTTTCTACACTTTTTACAGAAACACAACCGATAACAAGTATGTTACCGAAATTGATCCTTCTTATTTTGATAAAATAAATTATTTGATGACAAAAGTGAATGATTTTCAGTGTCAATATTCAGTATTGTTGTTGCTCTATTGACAGATGGGGTAGTCCTCACCTGACAAGGGATTTTTTTCACGAGTTGGGATCAAAAATGGGAGATCACCTACTTCTTGTTGTGGCTGAAGAGGGTGATGAACTAGTTGCTGGAGCCCTAAATCTTATTGGAGGAGATACTTTGTTTGGGCGCCTATGGGGGTGTCAACCACGAACTTACTACCCAAGTTTGCACTTTGAAGCATGTTATTACCAGGTACATGTTTCTCATTATTTTTATACTCAGCTACTGTTAGATGATTATTTCCATTTTTGGTAGGTTTTGGTTTTATGGTTGGAGAATAATGCTATAGTTTTTAATCAGATATTTCCTCATAATTAACACTTGCTTGTAATGTTTATTTTTCTTTTATTTGATTAGATTTAGTAGAATATCCTTTCTTTTTCATTTTTGTACTACGATCAATGTTTTCTTTTATCAAGAAAAACGGAGATTATACTTGATCTTTTTTTCTCATTTGTATATTAACAAGATCAGATGTAGTATATCAAGGAAATAGTTAACATATTTACGCTTTGTTTGACGTCACAGGCAATGGAAGCGGCAATTGAACTCAACCTTAAAACAGTCGAGGCAGGAGCACAGGGCGAACATAAGATTCAGCGAGGATATCTTCCTGTGACAACTTTTAGCTGCCATTACCTTATTGATGAAGAATTTAGGAATGCTATAGAAGATTTTTTAATACGTGAAGCTTCTCAGGTACGACGATTTATATTTTGTTCTTTAACTTTGTTTACTCTTGTTTTAATATTACAAGTATCTTACTTGTAAATCATATGGCGTGTTATGATTGTAAAATGCATTTAGTTGACATTTTTTCTTCTTTTAGGATTTCTATTTAATCATTAAAACCATAATGTTGTATGTGAGTACTCGGATGCGTTCTCGTTTGTGTAAAGGGTGGGAGTCTTAAATAAACTATCAAATAAATGAATGCTGTTAATATTCGGCTTAACCTCATTCGTGCATTCGTTTGCATGCATTCTTCGAATGATTTTTCACAATTCTTCGAAGTGTTTTTACTTCCATTGATGTTAGAAGCCATCGTGTTTTAAAATAATTTACGCACTGCGACTTTTGCCCTACAGGTGAAGCTTGTTATGAAACTCTTGCATGACTCTGGCCCTTTTAAGGAAGGTGTTATGTAAAAGGTAAATTATCAGCGTAGTGTTTAGTAATTATGATCTGTAAATATGCACAAGATTTTTACCTAGTAATCATTATATTTTGCTAGGAAGTATGTACAGTTGTGTAAGTGAGTACCAATATACACCTTTGCCATTTGTTGCGAAGGTGACTGGTGCATCTGTATTCTGAGGGTAATTCACTGATAGCCAAGTGCTGCGTTCGTTACTAGTGAATTAATAACTATCTGTGATACTATTGTTACATTAAGCAAAGTGCAGACTGGCTGCGATTTGCAACATTATAAAATAAGAATTTTGCTAACTGGTTATGAAATCAATAAATATAAAATTTTATTAAAAATTTCATTGAGGATGTATTAAAATATACACTTCAAAATACAGAAAGTGTATATTTTTTATTCTTTAACTACCTTGAGACTGGTCAGTGTGCTTAGGAGTATTTCCTTTGTATTCTCGGCGAGGTTGTCCACAGAATTTGGCTGTAGCATCATGGTTTAGCAGGGGCACTGATAAATATTATTTTTGTCCTTTAAAGTTGTGTATTAATGTATTTTTGGGCGCACATGCGCTAGCGGGAATATAGACTAATCTGAAAAACTGAAATCGCAATGGGACAAAAAAATAGGAAAATTGGAGCTTAGACCACTAAAACTTGGTTCATGGTACAAGAGAAGTGAAGAATCGGTTTGGTCTGGGAAAACAGAAACGAGGGTGAAATGGAGCTAGAAGAAGAGAAATTGTTGAGAGTCAGACCGTGAGAGATGCACCATTGTCAGCAGGAGTGAGGTTGAGGATGATGGTGGCAGCCTTGAGAGCCCAAGCTTGAGGAGTTTGATAGAGAGAAGCAGAAGAGCCAAAGCAAGAGGCGAGCATGTCGGTGTTGATGACACCTGGATTCAAAGCCACCACTGCCATTCCTTCTGGAACCTCTTTAGCTACCGACCTACTTAGTCCTTCTATCGCCCATTTGGATGCACAGTAAGGAGCAACCAAAGCCGCACCTGATCTCCCCCATCCTGAAGACATGTTCACTATAATACCTTGCTGCTTGTTTGCTATCATCAGAGGAATGAAGTGCCTCAGCACATTCGCCGTCCCCTTCACGTTCGTGTCCATCACCTCCTCGAACTCTTCTGCCCCCACCTCCCATATCTTGTTGTTCTTATTAATTGTTCCTGCGTTGTTCACTGATCCATTCTTCTCTCAATTCATTGTCATCTATCATATTTGATTTAGGGTTAGGGTTAGGATTAGGGTTTACGTACCTATAATATCGGGGACGGCCTTCTCCTCCATTACATGGCGAGCCATCTCCTGAATGCTGTCATTTGACTTGACGTCGGCATTGAGAAACAAGTGGTTGGAAGAAGAGAGTTGTGATTGGAGCGAATTGAGGTTATCCTGAGATCGGGAACAGCCGATTATGGCGTGACCTCGACTCGCCAATTCGAGGGCGAGGGCCCTTCCCAGCCCTTTTCCCACTCCCGTTATCAGCACCTTCCGACTCCCCACTCCGCTTGTCGGTATCGCCTTCATCTGTGCCTCTAATTCCAATCCTATTTCCACCCACCCAAATATATAAGGTAATCTTAAATGTCCTCTTTTGTTTCATTTTCACTTCCGATTTAGATCACCAACTTTATATTTTCAATCTGATAATTTACATTTTGTAATTATATATTTTTTCAATTAAACATGAATTTAATTCAAATACATTAATCATCCAATCATAAATTATAATATTAACAGGAATCATAAATTTTTATAACAATTAATATAAAGGTATTATTTGATAGTATAAAAAATTATATTAACAATTTACTAAAATTATACCTTACGAATAATACAAGTTATTTTTATGATTAAATTAGAATAAAGTTATTTATAACTTTTATATAGGTTAATATGACAATGTTAAGAGTTAGGATTAGAGTGGTTTTAAAGCATTATACTTAGAAAAAATTTAATTATTTATACTACAGTGATAAGTCTTAATGTCATAACATGACCATTTATTCTCATTTAATACTATTATACCTAATCCAAATATTAATATTTACCTTTGTTAAATTTAATTTAGAATTTTTTTTCAACTTCATTTATTAAAGACAAATAAAAAATATAATAAATACTTCATAAAAAAAATATGAAATGGTTTAAAAAAAGGGGAAAAATTATTAATCTCAACTAATAGCACTGAGTCTAAAGAATCAATAAAAATAAATTTTTATCAAAAATATTTATTATACTTTTATAATTTTAATGTAATGGATGTGTTTTTTTTCAATAAAAAATTAATAAATATAATTTGTATAAATATATTTATATTTTTTATTAGTTAATTTAGTTTCAAAATAATTATAATTTAAATAATAATTATTTTTAATGTGACAGGAAAAAAATTAATATAGTTATGAATTAATAAATATATTTGTATATTATATAAATTTGTTTGTATTTTTATTAAATTATTTTATTTTAAAATAAATAAAAAATTATAATTTAAATATAAAAATATATAATCATAAAATTTTATTATATTAAATAATATCAAATATAATTATATTAAAAATATGATAAATACATTTTTATATATAAATTTTTTTGTATATTTATATATTTTTAATCTTCTTTAATAATAAAAATTGTTATTCTTTTAGTTGATGTAAACATATAAAATAAACTTTTTAAAGATAAATTAAAGAGAACATGAAAATAAAAACAAACAGTAAATTTTTTTAATCATTTTTAAATATAAATAATATAAATCTATTATATTATTATTGTTATTAAATATTTTAAAATGAAAATAAAAATATATAAAAAAGTATATATCAATGAGTACAAATATAATAAAAAATATTTTTCAATAAATAATGAGTTTTAGTATTATTCTCAACTAAGATCCATTTGAATAAAGTCTAATTTTTATTTCTTAAGAATTAAAATAAATATTAACATAAATTTATTTGATAAATTATGTATAAAATTATTAATTTATGATTTTAAAATAATATATTTAAAATTGACTTAGTTATAAGTAAATGTATACTAATAATTAATGATTCTAATTTAAAATATTTTTTAACTTTTAAATTAGTATTATTTTTAAGAATATGATATCATAAATAATTATATCAATACAAAAATATATTTATTTTATTTTATATTTAATGTATAATTTAGTTTATAATTAGAGAATCAATTGTATATTCATTACATAATTGAATATCCTTAACAAAATTTAAAAATATTCAAAATTTAATTATAATTTTAAAAAAATTTAATAATCACATAATTAGAATATAAAATGTTAATAAATAAATATAGTTTCAAATGTTAAAATTAAAAATATTGAAAAATATTTTTATAATATTTTAAAAAATTAATTTATGTCTTTATTTTATCACAGATTTTTTTTTCATAACTTTAAGAAATATTTAAAATATAAAAGAAATATTAAAAAGTTGAAGAACTCTCATTCATTGTTAAAACAAATTATATATATATATATATATAAAGTAAATATAACATTCAAATTTAATTTATATTTAAAACATTATTATTTATTTATTATAATATAAAAATATTAAATATGTAAATCTAACAATTATAATAAAATTTTAATAACAAATTTATATAGAGTTTTGTTAACTTCAGCCTTTAGGATCAAAGATAAATAATTAATAGTAATAAAATTTTATTAAAAAGAGAAATATTTATTATATTTTTATAACGTCAATAAAATAACTATGTACATTTTTTATTAAAAAAAATTATTTGTGGATGTTTAAACTCAGTTCTAAGGACTGATGTTAACAAAACTTAAATTTAAATTACTATATTACTATTTGATTTTGCTATAATTAAAATTTTATAGAAGTTTTTTAAAATTCTCATACTTAAAAAAAATTACAAATCTTAGAATATCAATATTTTTAATAGTATGTATTTAATTTAAATTTTAATGTTAGAATGACAATAAATAATTAAAAATATAGTAAAAATAAAAATAAAAATAAAAGTATTATAAATAATTACCATAATAGGAAAAATTAGTATAATTTTTATACTCGAATGAATCTATAAAATAATAATGTTTGATATATCAATATTAACATAAATTTTTGTTGATCTAAATATAAAAATAAAAACATAACCTATAATACATACTTGACACAAATTTAATCAGATAAAAATAAAATATATTACATGATATCACTTTAAAACAATGCAATTTTATTTTTACTCTATGATATAATTTTTGATAATATAAATTTATACTATTGTAGATTAATTTAGTTTAAAAAAATTAATGAATTTGATATAATTTAACCAATAAAAAACTTTATATAATACATTATATCACTTAAAAATAATGTATTTTTATATTTACTTAACAAATTAAAATAAAATGTATGAATATAATTTAAAAAGAAAATAAAAAATATTAATATTAACAATATAATACTTAATTAGATTGATAACTCTTAATGTGGACATAATTGTAAAATACAAAATTAAAGTAAGATGATAAAAAGAATTTTTAAAAAGTTTTCAAAAGTTGTGTATAATAAAAAAAAATCATTTGTATTATAATTTATTTATTTATTTTATCATAAATATGATTTAATAATTTACAACATAAAACAATAATTCAATAATATACAATATAAAACAATAATTTAAATCAATACATTCAAATTTGAATATAAAATATAATTTTATTTTTCATTAACATATCACTTGAATTATTAGCGAAAAAAATATATCACTTAAAAACTTCATTCAATTTTTACAAACTTTATTATGTAATTGAATTAATATTTCTTTTCTTTTTTTAATATTTAATAGATTTAAATAATTTCTATTAAATATTACTCATAACAAATTTGTTAGTCTTTTTTAAAAGTGTATAACTATTCATTTAAAATTTTTATATAAAACCAATTCTAATAAAATTTCTTTAAATACAATTTAAAGATAATTATGAATTAATAATAATTATAATTCTTAAATTATGCAAAATATTATAATTAATTTTGATAAATAATTATTAAATATAATTTATAGTCTATGATATTTTCGTTTCTAACATTACCAATATTTGTTTTGACCATCAATATCATTTAACCATATAAATAAATCTAAACATTTTGAATCTTAATAATTATAATTTTTGTTATAAATATGTATAATAATAAATAGGTAAAAACTAATATTTTATTTCTAATAATGTAAAAATTCTTATCACTAACATAGTCAATTTTACATAGACAGATATATTATCTCTTTTAAATACTTAAATTCAGTTTTAAAAACTAAGTGTAACAAAATTCTAAAATGAATCACTAAACAAGTCATAATTTTCTTTTTCCTTCTCCACACAATCATGAGTTACAAATATAGTTAATATAAAATCTTAATACACTCCAGACCAAATTGTTTGTGCATGACTGATACATACATTATATAGGATTCAAAGATAATAAATACTTATATGTACAAAAATGACTTGTATCACGTCAAGTGAATTACAAAAGAACCGAAAAAATAAAAGAAACAATTCATGCATGGCACGATAATTGAGTAAAGACGTACCGGTGTTCATTCTCTCGGCAAACTCAACACCGAACGAGTAAGGACAGCTAAACCCCAGGATATAACCGAGCAATAGAAGAAATAGAAAAACCACAATATCCGAAGCACATCTTTCATTGAAGGAAAGATCAAACAGCAGAATCTCAAACCAATCCTCTGCATAGGGTCCTGTCATGCTGCTTTCTGTCAAAAGATGATGATGTCATGCCAGCCTAGCTGCACAGTACACAAGTGGTACGCTCCTATTGGCCATGTTGAAGTGCTGGCCAAGTTCACTCTCGTTTCCCTCCATGTTCTAAGTCATACTTCCATACCACCATTTATTGCACATACAACTAACGTACACTGGAATTCGTAGGAGTTCTAGCAACCAGGCCCCACAGTAGACGACTGGTCTTCGGGATTCACTATTGCTTCAGAATCTAGTTTACCTGGTTTAACTTTTTCATTAATTGGGAGTCCTATTTTGGGCGAAAGCTTCTTCACCTCCTCTGAAGTGTAGATGAAAATTTTCCTCACAACAGTACAGAACTCACTGCAATAAACTAGCAAAAATTTAATATACACAATAAGCATACAAAAATATAAAAAATTAAGCATCCATTGTATCCCAATCCAATATGGAAAGCATGCTGTTAATCCAATTATCCACTCTTTTAGGTCTATTAGATGGACACAAATCATGCAGCAAACAAAATATAGTGCCATACAAACATGAAAATGCCCAAGCCAAGAAAATGCTGTGTTAAATGAACTTACTGCCATGGATCATCTCCAACCATCATCATATCATCTTCATTATCAGTGTAGACAACCTGCCATTTTTTTAGGGACCCACAGAGCTCAGACTTGATGTCAAACATCTCTTCCAATCTCCGAAGTAGATCCTCATATCCATCAAATCGTGTTAAATCCACAGCCCTCCCAACAGCCATTCCTTGCATGTGAACCTAGAAAAATATTAAATTGTATCACAAATAACCACAATACACTATGCAGGCACAATGAGGAGAAAATGCTAACCACCTTACCAACACAGGATGACCATAGATTTAAATCAAATCATACAAAAATAGTTACTAATTCTATAGCTTTTACCATTAAGTTGCCAGAGAAATTTCAGCATAACGATCATTTGTCAGTTGTGGATTCTATTGCAAAGGAAAATTTGCAAGACTTCCCAGCTGCTAGATATAAAAACTATTCATGGACTATAAACCAATAACTTATACTTTTGGGACAATCAATTTATGATATGCCATCACAACCTGTATGACCATGCAAGAGAAGTTCAATCCTTGTTGCCTCCGTTCTTCTAAACAAAGGTTAAATTCAGCGCATGGTAGAGTGGCCTATGCATACTGTCCATGCCTCAAGCCCAGCAGGTATGGCACAGGGGGAACATGTTAGATATATAACCATGTGCTTTTAGGATGCGTATAGGAACATAGCTTATTAAGCGTTTATTAAGTTTGTTTTTTTTACAGAAGGACCGTACTGTATTTTTAACCACAATTTCTTGGAATTAGCTGAAAAAAACTTATAAGAGTCACTAGCTATTTACATGATTTTTGTACAAGTTCTTCCAAATGAAGCCTTATTCAACAGCTTAAGCTTTTGGGATAATTGGTTCATGAGATATCAACCAAAATGTTTGATCAAAATTCTGGAAAAATAGTGGAAGTTGTGTTTTTATCAGTGTGGGAATAAAAGAAACCAAAACTTCCAATAATTTATTTTAGTTATATTAACTGATTGTGTGTTAAAGAATAATATAATGACTTGTTAGAGACAACAAAATCATACTATCAGTATGCAATATATTACCTTACCACCAACTAAAAGTACTCAATTCATCATACATATATAAAATGAACAGGCAACATAAATAATTATCCTATAGTCAAACTACATCAATGCATTGTAAAATATGCCCAAATATGTCGGGATTTTTTAAAAAATGGGGAAGGGTGCAGAAAGATTACACCAAGAAAAGTCATGCTACTACCTTTGTACAGCTCCTTATTTGCTTGCTTTGTGACTCCTGGGGAGACTGCAGGCATGATTTTTCAGCATCACAACTTACAGTTGGAATATCAGATCGATTGGCATTTGATGGTTCAGAATGCTGATCAGACTCAGCATCTAAAGATGGAACAGACCTATCATCAACCACCCTTCCCGACAAAGTAACTGTTTGTAAACTTCCTTCAGCATTAGAATTCTCACTTAGCTGAATCCCAAAGAGTCTACAGCCATTTACAGTGCCTTGTCTCTTCTCTCCAGCTTCTTTAAGGGCTATAGATTCCATAGAATTTTCTACCCTATTAGACCAATATATTGATTTGTTGGAAGGAGGTCCCACAGAGCCATTCCCACTAAAGCCAAGAAAGTTAGTAGCAGAAGAATTGAACTTTGGTGATGGGTAGAGGCCACGCCCATGTTGGGGGTCACAATAAGAGAAAGGTGTAGATTCAACTGGTGATTTCCATATGCCTGGTACACAAAACCAATTATGTAGAAAAAAAGAAGGGACAGCAGGATTGACCAAAAAATATTACGACCAACCCAGGAAACCCACCTTGCATAGAAGAATCAGACATTGTAGAAGGTAGAATGATAGGTCGTGCCCTCTTGTTTCTTTGGGTTGGCTGAGAGTTTGCAGGAGTGGTAGACGCAAGTGGCTCCAATTCCCATGAAGAAACTCTATCAGGACGCAGAATTGATGATGGTTCATCCCATTGCACCTGAAAGACAAATCATTTTAAGACATAAAATCAAGGAATGAAAAGCAGTAGTCTAATTTTTAACTTCTAAGCAGCAGGAGTATCAGCACATCGCCTGCCATATTCATTTTGCATACAAGACCTTTAGCAACTATTTGGTAGATAATGAATTTTATGGCAACTTTATATTACACAAATAATCAGATAGAGTGTATCAAGCTTCATTTCAATTCAATCTGTTTGAGTCATAATTCAACCATATAAAATATTGAACATCTTCCAGCCAGTTATTATGTGATAAAAAAATGTGGGAGAAAATTGTTTAATTTGTAAGCTGTCATTCATTGGATGGTCAACCAAAGTTCAAAACATATATAGCAATAAACCTTTCTTGGGATGGGGAAAGGAACAGGAAGAAGAGAAGTAGGATAAAAGAGAAACTAAGTAGAAAATAGGTAGACTGTTAAGATGTTTGGATTGAGTGTAAAAGAAAAGTAGAAGAGAAAGAAATCTTAACTCTCGTGCTTGTTTGGTTAAATGGAAAAGTAGAAAGAACGAAGGAAAATTTTAGTATCTAGACATTTCTACCCTTAATAATACATAATATAATAAATTTTAATAAATAAAAGTTTAAAAATATTATACAATATTATGAACACTTGAATTATAAAAGTATTAATCAAAGTTATTTAAATATTCATTATTTTAAACATATGTAAGATAGGGATAATCAATTTTTTATATAAAATAATCGAATCTTTATGGCACAGATTCAATTTCAAATTAGCAGAACCATACACAGGTGTAATAAATTTAACTTTTATTTTCAATGCCCCATGATTCCAGATTTAAAAAAGAAAGAAAGAAAGAAATGCGGTGGAATCATAAAAAAATAAAGGTATCATAATTTATTATTCATTTTCTTTTAAACCCTGAATTGGAGAAGTGAATCTCATGTTGAGGAAGATGGGGTATAGGGTAGATACATCAACTGCAAAAGGTTTACTCTTCCTCTTCAGTTTTCTTGGCTCAACTGAAGATAAAACTTTTTTGTGGGATCCATGCTATTTTTCTTTTCTTGTGTTTTCCCAGTACATCTAAAACAGGAGAAGATGATGTTCTCTAATCTCATTCTCTCCTGTTTTTCTTCCTTACATTTTCTTTTAAATCAAATTAAGTGTAAGGGTTGTATTAGGGGGAAGGAGGAAACAGTACTAGGCAAAATAACATTTAAATCACATAAGACATTTAATAAACATAAAAAAGGTTGACAGTAACTAGACCCGGACCACCAGAGCCTTTTATTAAAAAAATACAAGCCGAGGATGCCCCACTAGCAGCACTAGACCAGAAGACATTGTCACAATAACAAGGAAGTAAAATATACACACCACACACACACACAAGAAAGGAATGGTCTCACAAAGTACAACAAAATGTCAGTAATGGTCCTCTGAAAAGGAAAACAGCAGCATATGCACAACGCACCCAGCCCACCACTCATAAGTCAAAGCAGCACGTAATGGTCAAGGGTCCCATGGGAACATAATACGGATAATGCTTGCCATTCACAGGGGGGCCATGAGCGAGCACAGCACTCCCACCAATTTGAGATTTGAGGTGGGAACAGAATTGTTCAGCCACCTACAGATAGTAACATTGAATGATTCTGTGATCTATATCACAATTTTGACGACAATGGCTTTGACAGAATCCTAGCCGAAAAAAGATATATCAATCTAATCAAATAGTGGGCAAAACATTGCCCCTGCATGTTACAGGAAAACAAGGCCAATGACATATTCTTTGTTAGCCAGTTAGTTTGTCCATCTCTGAATTTCCAAATTCCAACCATTTATGGATATATCGTACACTAGATTGCTCAAATGAAGCTTGGCCAATATCATTCTTAAAGAGTCCTGAGAAGAAGCTGTATTTTTCACTACGCTTAAACATGACATTTTGAAAAGTTGGAAATAATTTCAAACTACAAAAATGAGCATTAGAAATGCAACTAAAGTACATTGTATAGTGTATCTTACTCTTAATGATCGCCACTCAGAATCAGGCCAGACCAATGATTTATTATCTCCAACACCCACAATTGTGCCACTGAACCTGCATTCAGGGCGAGAGGAAATTTATCATATACAATAATATGTTAACATCCACATACCAACTACAAGCTAACCAGCTCATGCACCTTCTTTCAGGAACTTCATCACCCTCAAATCTCATTTTGAACCTCATCCCAACAGAGAGTTTATGACTCTGAGCTTCCAGATACTTGTTGACACTTACAATAAACTCTGATCGGCTTGTTCTAAAGATAAATATTGACAATTCAGCAGAAAGTCTCAGTAAAAAAAATTTTAAAAAAATTCAAATACCATCCCAATCAAAATATTACAGCCAATAAAAAGTTCAATAATAGCAGAAAGCAAGAAGGCACATATACAAAGAAAGATGTGAAGCTAAAGGGATAAACAACAATATATGACAACATTACGAACTAAATACTCAGTATGAAAATAACTAAAACTAACAACTTCATAGTGTTAAATACAAGACCTGGGCTTGTAAAATACAGAAAACAGTGTTCCAGTGTTAATGGCATGAGATGCAGTGGCCAGAACACCGAGGTGCATACTGTGACTAGATATAACAGAAGAAGGCACATTGCTTTGCTGTCTCATAAGCCTCCTAACCCCAACTCGCAGCTCTCCACTTTCACCCCTGGAATATAGCATGCAACAAAAACCAGCCACAATCACTAACAATATTAAGGAACAACAGCAACGGAGATTAAAAACTATTTCTTGCCCCAAGGGGAATGGAAGCATAGGAGCTTTTGCTGTTAATCAACTTACCTTAAGAATATAAAGGCATCACCAGCCACTAATTTTTTGGAACTGACAAAGACACTCCACCCAGTGGTAAGTAAGTGGCGCCTGGGTTGTCCTGGAAATTTCTCTGTTTTCAGGAACTTGTTGACAGTATAAACATCAAATCTAATCTAATAGTATATATATAAACAAAATAATAGTTGTTTGTCTGTGAGAGTACACAAATTTAACAAAGCCAGATGGATTTATTTACAGAATCCTTTACAGCAGAGAAAAAAAAATACAATTAATATGATTACAGCTTGCAGCTGTACCTGAAGCTATTAATGAGGATAATCACCTTGGATCAGAAAGTTTAAGAGGCCATAAGGTCACAAGTTAAAAGGGATACTTCATACTTAAGCTACCCAAAACTACTAAAATATGTGGATAATATTTCTGTTGTCTTAGGGAGGAAACTTTGAGAAGTTAACCACCAATAGATTTCCTGAAAAGGTGATCAAATGATAAATAGGAAACCAAACATTGTCGAAGCAGAGATTCACTGCAAAGCAAGCTACAGAAGAACAGTCACAAGATATGTTTCACGTAGAAACAACTGTCACATCTTCTGCAAGCAGTGTGAATGGTGCTTGTTCAGCCAGTAGATTATTTTACAAATGATAGTGTTAGAATATCTTCATATTATCATAGAATATCATGGAATCAATTAGTCATACAATTGAGGAAGCAATCTTAGGAATTTTATCCTGATTTTGTTATATTTCCTAATTTTGTTGTGTTTCATTAGTCTTACTCTTACTTGTATTTGTGGACTTGGGCGTAGTACTAGACTAGCACCTGACCTATTTTTACCTTTTTAGTATTAAGACTATTTTGTCAGTATTTTGTATCACATCATTACACACCATAAAAAAAATCATACCTTCTTCAAAGTATTATTTATTTCTCAGCTTCCCTACTTCCCATCCTAAACCATACAATTTCAACAGCTAATGAGTAATAAATAAATAAAAATCTAGCCTCCTGTATCTTTAGGTGCATCATAGCAATCCACGAAATATATAATGCTCTAAATTGAACTGAAGCAGACAGATCAACTAAATCTTCATTAATACAAATTACCACACTCTATGACAGATTCACATGATAAAACAGAGTGCAAGAGAGATGGAAAATATACAGAATACCCAAGCTACTAACCACGAAAAATATGTCTAAAATGCCATTCATTCCCATGTAAATCAGTTGCAACCAATTCTTGCCATGGTGGCTGCTGAGCCTGAGACATATCCTGAACAAAATATGGGAATTACAAGTGAAAGACAGCTAAAATAGAGGATGATCAAGTATCTCTACCAGTGTTTTGAAAAGAGGAAAAAGGCTAACCAGTGGAGGCAGACAATCGTCTGCATGTCTTCGAAGAACAGAGAAACCTCCATGGGTACTGGTGTCAGAAGCAGTGAGTGTCTTGCAAAATGAATGGACCTTGACCCTTGGAGATTCAGGAAGAGGGTCATCAGGGCTTGTCACCTCGCTTTGCTAAACCAAGGCAATCAGACATAGATAGCGAGAGAGAAAAGAGAAACCAAACGGGTAAGAAACAGTTATGACTGGAAAAGCATTTGAGAAATAAATACAGAGTAGAAAAGGTTTAGATATATAGATCATGTAAAACAAAGAACAAGAGTACACTCACATCTGCTTCAGGATGCAGTGTTATCTGTGCATATACTTCATCTGTTTCAGGTTCAGCCTACAGAGCCAAGATAAATTGAACAATTAATTGATTATCAATGTAAAGCATGACAAACATCCAGACAAGGTATTAACAAAAAGAAGAGTATCAAGTAAGTTTGTTGAGAAAAATCAGAACTCACCCGAAGATGAACATTGACCACTTTACATAATATTTTAGAAGGTAGATTGAAGGAAGGCATCTGCTGCTCTAATCCCTCATACATAGATGCCTCAAGCTATAAAATAGAAGAACACAAGGCAAAATAAAAACATAAACTTCATAGTATAATAAAAAGCATATTATCAAAATAAAAATTGTCAGGCAATATGAATCAAATAATTGAATATAATAAGTTACAATGATGCCATCAAAGTAGCCGATGCACCACAATGTAAGATAACTGAAGTCTGAAAGTGTGGTGCAACACTTCACTGACTGAAGAAAAAGGGTGGAGAGCTGATGATTTGTGACAAAATGGTAATTTTGTTTTCGTTATATCAAGGCATTTATCTGAACAGAGATCAAAGATCTCTTTTTTTCTCTCATCAGATCCCCCCTCCTTCATTGTTTACCTTTCTTCCTTTTCTCTCTCCCTTTTTGCTCAAGAAAGCCGCCAACTCTCACTCATAAGGTGAAAATTAGTGAGTAAATTGAAACTTTCAAGTTCTACCTCTCACTTTTTTCTTGCAAGTTCCTTTTGGGAAGCTTTTTGAGTTAGGATTGTGCTGAGGACAGTGGAAGCCACGCCATGAAACTTACTTATGTGGCTCTACGTCAACTGATAAGTGGTAACCCAAAAACTAGGGTAATAAATTTTATTGGTCCAATTTCATACTGGGTAGGTTGAATGGTGAACTTAGGCATTGCCATTTAGAATTTAGGGAATCAAATCAGGCAATTTAGGTGACATTACTGATTTGTGCTTTATAGGTTTTTATTTGGTCATAGAATAGTATAAGGAGACTCTAATTCAACTGTGCAAAGTTATAGCGGAAGGACAATTGGAAACTTTTGTTAATTATCAAGAGCACCTTTTATTTTTTTTCCCATCTTGTTTAATCTGGATCCGACTCGATTCGCACATCCGCGATGTGGTTGGTAAGTCTACCACTTAAGATTTTTTGCATACACAAAAACTCGAACCCAAGACCTTACTTAAGCAATACCAAGCTATTTGTCATTCGGACCAACCTCTGTTAGTATTATCACGAGCGCCTTAAGTTATACTTATATATGAAATTTCATAGCATGAGAGATTTGAAAATTGGATTTCTTTTTGAGGCAGTGTGGTAGCTACTCTGGTTGTTTTGAATATTTATATGAATTAAAACTTTTAGAGATTTCCATGGTTTGGACTAGCATATAGTTCACCCTTGCTACACACCAACCATGAACCCTAAGCTCAAGTTGTGACAGAATGTAGCAATCTAAATATTCAATAGGCTACAAAATTTAGAGGAACACAGAGAAATGGAAACAAACAAATTCTGCATAATTTTGAAAACCCCCAACCAATGCAGTGGAAATTTGGAGATCTTCCACAAGAATACTGGTGAGGTGAAAATCCATGCCAATAGGATCATAAATCATGAAGAACAAAACAACTAACGAAAACATCCAAAAGTCAAGGTATAGCATGAGTAAAAAACAGAAGCACAAGCATCTCACTGCGATTTATGTTCAAACTTAAGATCCCATGCCCAATTGCCCATGCAAATTGTACCCAGTGCATCTGGCAAATTGTTATGCTGTATGCATTAAACATAATATGGATATATATCCAAATCACAAGGTGCATGATCTAAAAACAGGAGCACAAGCATCTAACTGCAATTCAAGTTCAAAAACAGGGAGGCCCATTAAATGACTCAGATTGGGAATCTTAAAGAACAAAAGTCAACTTTCATCCCTATAAAAGGATAAACATGAACATATTATGTACACTTTTCCAAGCATGCGAATACATTTGCTTGCTAAGTACAAACAAGTAATTTCTAAAACTAAAAATCTTAGATACTAAACTAAAATACCTGTTCCATGTGACCTTGTGGAAAGTAATAAACTCGCTCCCCTTCATGAGGAAGAGTGACAAGGGGACCAGCACAGGCATGCCACAATTCCTTGTATAAATCATCATTAATTGCCCCTATAAAACAAAACACAAGATGAGAAATACACAATAATTTAAAGTGCATGTGAAATATACATTCAAGTATTCAACTCAAAACATTTCCAACATTGATAACTTTTGCCAACCAATTCAGTAAGATAAAATTGTTCGTGACAGAAAGCATAGGCAACAATAATCTCAACAAGCAAAAGGCAGCCACGTGTCAAAACTTTTGCAAAATTCAAGATACATTTCCCAGTAACACACAGAATAGATAATACATAGAGGGTAAAAAAAGACGCGGTGCTTCCAATTCTAAGATTAGGAAGTATCTACTAACCAACCATTAAGGGGATTATAAGAAGAATGCATCGTGGCATGTATCCTTTTTTACAGAATCTATTGTTACCTGGTATCCAGGATGCATAATATCTAACAACTAACAAGTACAAGCAAGCAGCTACAATTTCTAAATTGGCCCTAAATTAGAGTCTTCAAGGACAAGTGGAAGCAGGCTTAAAAAAGATCAAAAGTTGTGAAAGCCATGAGCACCAATCCAAGCTGAGCAAGCACATAAAAAATACCCCAGATCATTTCCTATAACTATATTTTATCCCAAAAGAAGTAACAAAATGTTAGTGATAAACAATGTCAGGGAAGATTGCGAGCAACCTGCATGAATTCCGCCAGATTTGTGATTTGGAGCAGTGAAAGCCATGAGAGAAACGCCCAAATAAGGTCCAATAGAGTAAAGAATGTAGGACAAGTGCGAGTTTTCCTGCTCCAGCAGAAAATAAAAAATGAAAACAACATCAGTTTTGGAACCAATTCAGCAAAGAGCTCAGTGACCTAACCTAAATGAAGCAAAGAAAGTTGAATTGTTCGTGAATTGCAAAAACTAGACGTTAGCTGATCATTGAAGTGATGAAAATAAAAAATGAGAAGTGCAATAGTGGTTTGAGGCTGCCTTAGCCTAGAGCTGGATCCAAACAAGTAAAATTGAGGAAACAAACGAGCATTTCCCTTCCCACGCAAACACGTGAAAAACCGAATCAGATTTGAAATCGGGCCAAGCTGAAGCAAGTACATGTAAGATGTAGATCAAACAACTCACTCTTTCGATCAATCGATACGGTGGCGTTTGGTTCAACTTCAACCACACACCTCCTTCTTCACTTCACTTGCTTCCTTCTTTTAATTCTATTTTTAGTTTAAATTGAAATCTGTGTGATGCGTCTCTGTGAATTTGAAGCAGAAAGAGTGCGCAATGCGCTATCGAGAGAGAGAGAAGAAAGTAAAACAGACAGAAACAGCGATACAATGCGTGCCCTCAAACCCCTACAGGTTCCCCCACTGTCCCACGCCCCTCAAGCATATGCCATTCAACTCATTATTTTATTACTATTCTTCTATTTATTTAGTATATACATTAAATATTCATATTCATTTCTTTTTTTCTTTTGGAATCCCTTCTAAATTAGATGCCAATTTAGTACAGACAAACAATTTCTCGCTTTTAAATTACGCTTTATCTCCTCCGTTTCCTCTTTTGTTTCGTTGACTGCCACTTTAACCATTTTCACCCTTTCCATATTTTTACCCTCCTTTTTCCTTATTAATTAACATATCCCCATGCACCATATCTTTCCTTTTCGTATTAGCATTTCTATTTCTACCATCTCTCACTTTTACATTATGAATGTCCTTCGTGGCCCCTTTGGATGGGAGAAAACAATGAGAAGAAAAACAAATGAGGAGAAATAAAGATGGGGTGTTTATATGCGTAGAAATTTGAGGAGGGGAAATTCAAATTAAGTTGAGCTCAAAAACCCATAATTAAAACAAGTGGGAGGAAGACACAGAAGGAAGCATATGAGATGGAAGGTTTTTTTTATATATATATGATTTTTGTTTTTAATTTTTTAAAATAATAATATATATAAAATAGCAAAATAAAAGAATTATCATAAAAAATACATTAATATTGTTTTTTATAATTATTTTTTATATATTTCAATTGTTTTTCTTCTTTTTTACTTATTTAAATTAATAAATATATTTTTTTCAATATATCTAAATATAAATTATTTTTTATTCTTCTACTTTTTTATTTTTCTTCTGTTTCACCTTTTGTCTACAACTTACAATGTGAAAAATGTTAGATTTTCTTCAATAAATTAAGAATTAAACATATAAAGCACCACTGTTAGCTCAAAAAAATTTATTTTGTAATCAGCTAAGAACTTATGTATGTTGATTTTTTATTAAAGATAATAAAATATTATAAAAATTTAATACAGAAATAACATTAAATAGTATGACTTTCAATAAAAAAATTACTTTTTTTATTTGTTTAAATATCATTGAGTACACATTTAAAAAGTTATTATATTTTATTAAATTTTGTTAAATCTAATTAAACATATAAAAGTATAAAGATTTTATTAAAAAATATTATATTTATTGTATTGAAATTAAAATGTGATAAATAATTTTTAATAAATTTTATCATGTGGTTAAATTTAGTTCTAAAAATAAGCATTAATATTCTTATTTTTTTTTATTATACATGTTATTTAACCGAGCGTAATGACGGCATGATTTATATAGTAACTAGTGAGAGATAAAATTTTATTGTTATTATATTATATATATATTTTATTTTATTTATTTATTTTTATTTAAAATATAAATTTTCTTCTCACTTAATATTTCAATAATGTTTGTATGTAAAAAAGTGATGATATGATAAAATTATTATTAAAAATGAAGATAAAATTAATTTAGTTTAAATAATTATAAATAAATACACTTTATCGCTGTGTACACATGCTCTCCTACTTTGATTGCTGCTAACGTATCTATATTCAAACTTGTTTATATACGTGCTCCGCCAAAAAGATAATGTGTTTAGAAAAGGAGAAAAATTGAAGAATGGAAAAATTTAGTGAATGCGATATACTTAAAAATGTAAATTAGGAGAAAGTGAGACGAAAGGAATTGGCTATTGTTTCCTTTAATTTACTGTATTATTAAGTGATTTTTATAAAATATCAAAAATTGACATAAAAAAAGTATATCATTTATATTAATTAAATTTTTATAACTATTATAAATATTTTTTTATATAAAAATCTTTTTTTATTTGCTTTACTCACTTTAAAAAATATTCATTGTGTGTTTATCAATAAAGACGGTATGGAGATTTGTAAATATTTAATTTAACAATGGATTGATAATTATATTATTTTATTAGATTTGTGTGACTTAAAAAAAAAAAAAATATATATATATATATAACAAAATTTCGTCTTATTATTATTAGTTTAAATACTCCTTGTTACTGTTTACTGACATGTTTGTAATTATGTAATGATAATAATTATTTTAAAATATAAATGACATAATATGTTTAAACTTAAGTTAATAAAAAATAATAATATTTTTTTTAATATAGGACTATAATAAAACCTAGTCTTATTTACAATAAATATATATATATATATATATATATATATATTATTCTATTGATATATTAACTTTTTAGTATATTATAATACTTTCTTTTAATGTGTCAATAAAAATACTTTTGATAAGAGTTAAAAAAATTTACAAAATTTTAACAACTGATTGATAATTATATTATTTTATTAGATTTGTATGACTTAAATATATATATATATATATATATATATATAAAAAAATAAATAACAAAATTTCGTCTTATTATTATTATTATTTTAAATGCTTCTTGTTACTGTTTACTAATATGTCCGTAATTATGTAATGATAATAATTATTTTGAAATGATAAATAATATAATATGTTTAAATTTAAGTCAATAAAAAATAATAATATTTTTTTAATATAGGACTATAATGAAACCTAGTCCTATGTATAATATATTTACTATTCTATTAATATATTAACTTTTTAGTATATTATAATACTTTCTTTTAATGTGTCAATAAAATACTTTTGATGAGAGTTAAATACATTTACAACTTTCATATTTTTACAAGATTTTTATTTTAATTCTTTAGAAATAGTTTTACTCTCTAATTTTTTGTAAATTTATTTTTTTAAAATTTCAATCATGATCTGATTTAAGAAAAAAAATTGACAGATGATAACATTTAGTCAATCATTTATTACTAAAGATTTAAAGCTTTAAATTTATAAAAATTAAAAGAATTGAGAGACTGAAATAAAAATTTCTATACAATATATAAATGAAACATATTTAAGACTTTTAATAAATAATAGTATTACATTTTAAATTTATTTAAATAATATAAGCGAGAAGGGGGAAATGCTGCAAACGAAATTGAAATGCTTTTTTAAAAAAGCGGCGTTTGGCGTCCGGATTCAGTGTGTTAGACTGACGTGCGCCTTGTTGCTGTAGTTGGGGTTTCAACTGAATTTTGGGAAGGCAAGGCGAGGTAAGGAAGAATGATACTCAGAACTCCACCGCCATCGAAGAGGCCACGAGCGGACGCCGATGCTGACGCTGATCAACAGCTTGTCATCTACGAGGATCCGCCGGTGTCGGTTCCGGCACCGGAGTCATCTCAGGATCCCTCCGTTTCTGAGCACATGCTCTGCACCTATCAGTGTCGCCAAATGGTTCGTCTTCTTTTCCTTCTGAATCTGCATGATAATGACCTCAAAAATTAATATATTGAGGTTTAACTTTAAGCTTACAACAACATAAGGCTCTTAATGCTTGACAATGACATGCTCTTGCGCTACATTGTTATTGCTTGCTACGCCTAACGTTCTGCACGTCAATTTATTCCAGGTTAAATCGGATTTTATTGATGCCTTAAGCAGAGCTGAAAATCAAGTTCGTGATTATCAATCTAAATTGGAGACGTTGGATGACAATTTCCAAAAAGTTGGTTGGTATACGCTTGTTGAAGTGGCTTTTCATTCCAATATTTTCCAACACTATTGTTCAGTTAATTTACATGTTTTCGAACTTTGTATTCTTATGTTTTTTGCCTTTTTCTGTACATCAATTTATTATATCCTCTATTTTGTACCTTCGTTTAAACTGTCAACTTGTTACAGAATCTGAGAGGAAGAAATTTCTGGACCAATTCTTATATGCGGAACAGGAACTGGCAGCTGCAAAAGGACGTGAACAGGCACTCCAAGACCAACTTTTAAAGGAGGTGACTGAATCTCAAGAACGATTAAGAAAACAAATCCAATTAAACAGTGAACTACAGGTATGTCTTATTTTTCTACTTAGTACTTTTAGATGACAAATGAACATTTTTTTTAATACCAATAATTCAATATGCACATTTGTGCGATTACGAACTGATATATTTTTATAGAGTTCATGCCTTCAATACTAATATTATGTTAGCATATCTTCTTTGAATTGTTGGTCTGTTGATAATATCTAAAGTTATTTTTTTCAAACTTATTGTTGAAGCTTGTTGTTCCCCACCTCTGGTCATGCTGCATTTAGGGCAGTGATTTAACCCTCTTCAATCTGGAATTTAGGTTAAGCTCCAAAATGAGATGAACCTTCGCATTAAGGCTGAGTCTCATGCTGCTTCAGCAGAAAAGAAAGCAACATCTTTAGAAGGAAAGCTGGGGCATCTCTCAGAGAGCATAGAGAGGGAAAAAAATCGACTTCATGATGAACATGCACAACTGAAAAGGGACTCAAAGTTATCTATTTCTAGGATAACTGCAAATGTAAGTGGTTATATTTTCTGTTCAGACTAAGAGCCAATTACAGTTATGAGCTGTTGTTTATGTTGTGTAATTTCATATTGTAGCTTGAAAAAATGGAATGCAGAGCTAATAATGCTGAGAAAGAAGCAGAGCTGCTTAAAGAACAGCTGAAACATCTTAAGGACCAACTCAATGAGGTTTGGATGCCTAATTAGCTGCTTTTTGGCTTTGATTATTATTCTTGTAAGAATGCTCTTTGAACAAAGCTATTTACTAGTGATGTTTTGATTTGGTGTCAAGTGTCTGAAATTCATCTGGACAGTTTTCTGGTAGAATAATGTATCTTACATGCTTAATTTCATTACCAAAATCCCTTTTCCAGTTGGGTTATGAACTTATGTTTGCATAATATCATGATTCCTATTTCCAGTGTATGCACCAGAAGATTGAAGTTGAAAAAAATCTGTCAACTTTAATGTCTCAAGAAGTATCTTTTACAGAGAGTGATGCTTTAGTTAAAAATTTGCAGCAGGAGCTTCGGAACTATGTAAGTTTGCTTTCTGTTTTATCTTGAATCTTGATGCCCCTTTTTATTTGGGATTGTAGTAATGTGAGGATACATTCACTGATGACTTGATGTGTGGACTGTCGACTAATTTCATAAATGGAGAGAAATGTCATTATTGTATTGAATGGTCTGGATATATAATGGATAGATTGGGTGGGCTTGGCTTCCAATTTGAGTCTTTTTTTTAATCTTTTGGGATGTTGATGGATTGGTACCAAAAGTCTGTGTATGTATTTTTCATTTACATTTTGTTATCTCTTTTTTATTTAATTTTTTAATATGATTTAATCTGACGCACAATATTCAAAAGTGTTCCAAGAAATGAGGACATATCTGTAATTTTTTGACTTGATTACAGAAATACTGTTTTATTTTAAGGTTATGCTGTCATGTAAATTATCTTGTTTGTAGCTTTCCCTTTTCTGGTGTTTTGATGAGTATGCAACTTGCTGTAATTAACAGCAACTCAGCAAGCATATGCTAATCAAAGCATTATTGTGAAGGAACTTGCTTTCTATTGGACTGGTGTTTTTACTTGGTAACTTTCTAAAAGAAGAATGCTAACGATACATTCCTCATGATCAAGTGAAATTCATGAGACCTGCTAAATAAGGAATGGGATCCACCATGCAGGAAGTAGAACCAACATCATTTTGTGAGTCCCAAGAGTTTTATCTAATAATAGCGTGTTGAAAAGAGTGCTGTGCTAGCATTTATCTTTTTCTACAATTATGAGCTTGGATAAAAGTTAAATTCATTTCTGGACTTCGAAATTGGCACGAATGCTACATCTATTACAAATTTGTAGCCTGAGTTAGTATCCGTCCCTGCTTGATCTGGCTTCCCACCTTGCATTATTATATATGCATTAACAATTTAGTTATGGTTTAGGTGGAATTCCTATGATTATCAGAACAGAAACACAGGAGTTAATATTTTCACTTGTCATGGTATATTTTTTCTCCTGTTTGGGATAATGTCTTATCCTGTGCTTGATGCCTTTTCTTTTTGTTGGGGGTTTAATTCATATGATTTTTAATTTCAAATTATAAGACCAGATTAGTACATTTTTTGCTCTCTTGTGCTCTAGGAAATTACCAGATGAGTCCTCACTATGAATTTGTGCACCCACAGTAATCTAAATAACGAATCCTGTTTACATTGACATTTTAGGAATCTGAAGTAAGGGAAGCAAGAAAGTTAAGATCAAGTCATGAGAACATTGAGCTTTTGAAGGAGAAATTGTTGGAGGAAAAGAGCCACAGGGAAAAGGCAGAATCAGAGCTATCCAAGTTACAGGATGTCCAATTAAATATGAACAAATTAGAGGATCAAATATCATCATGGACAATGATGATTAAAAACATACCTGGTGTCTCATCTTTTGAAGACTTGCCTTTTAAATTTGCTGCTTTACAGAAGTACGTGAGTAGTTATATTTCTGTTTGCAAATTACGAGATGACATCTTATTAACCTCCCAGTTAAAAAAATTTACTGGCAACATTCCCTATGACACTTCTTTTTCTTCTTTTTTTTGGCAAACTAATGGCACTACTTTGCTTAAATGTGCTGATGGAGAGAATAACGTGTGCTGATGCGTGAAGACTTGTGTATTCATCAATATGCATGATAATATTCATTTCTATTATTGCATATTTTGGTATCCAAATGAAGCAAAATGTACTGGATGTGTAAAACCTAGAATCTGTTCATATTTAATGCTTGTCTGTAGTTTTCTTAATATTCCTATCAATGCAGAGAGGTCATTTATAGCACACAGAAGGAGGGCGAGATATCTGCTCGCTTGAAACAACTGGAGGTGGCTTTGGATGCTGCTGAGATTGGTAAACAAAATGCTGAAGCTGAGGCTGTGTTGGCTAAAGAGAAAGCAGAACTATTAAAATCAGAAATTAAACAGATTGAGTTAATGGTCAGTGTTTGATACTTTGATTATGATGTTCAAAATGTTTTAAATTTATTGTCTTCTGCTATTTCTCAACTCAATTTAAAAGGCATATGTTTTGCTTTTAGTTGCAACTCACACCAACAAATCTATGAATCGCTTAAGTAAACATATTAAGTGCTACATATTATACTCTGATCTAAGGTTTCCTGCAGCCTGTCTTTTAGCTTCATGCTTCAAAATTTCAAATGCAGCATACACTGATTGCTTGCAAAGATATCTTAAGTATTGTTAGGGCTATTGATGTAAACACAGCTTTTGAAGATCTGTAAGCAAAATATGCCTATGAAATGAAGCTTTTAAATATCAGTTTATGATTTTTGAAGGATTTTGTCTTGAATTTATGAAGCTGTGGTAGTAAGTATCAAAATCTTCAATTCTTCAGTTTGCTAATTTTATGCTTGTTTGTTGGACACTGAACTCTCTAAAAAATGGCTTTATCTATTTGTTTGCTAATTATTAGTATTCCACAGTTTTAAAATAGAACCCTTTGCTGTGCTGCATTTTACCCCCTTAGCTGTGTTGAAGCTTTGGGTTTAAGAACTTCTGTAAATTTTGTATTATGTGTGCTACATGCTAACTTGCATGATGCTGTTTCCCTGTTGATCATTGTGCACAATAACCATACATTAGACATGGGTATCAAAATATCACTTCCATTTAATTGAAAGCTGTAATAATTCTTTTAAACATTTTCCTTGTCTCTCATTACACAGATTATTTCATGCAAGTGCTGTACCCATTTTCTATAATTCTGGTGTACTTTGAAAAAACTGCTTGTTATTTATTGGGGCACTAATTATCTAAACTTCTGGGCAATCTGTTCATAATAACTTTAAATAACTTCCGTATGACAGTGATAGTAACTGAATATTTATGTTCTGAAATATGTGGTTTTTGCCATTTTGAAATATTTGTTGTCTTGCAGCTTGCTGTTGTTACTGAGGAAAGAAATAAATTAAGAAATGTTGCCAATTTGAAGAATGATGAAGCTTTGGATGCATCAAGAACTGCTAATCCTGTTGAGGTTGCATTTCCCTGAATTTTGTTATCATTTAACTTATTGTGTGTTCTCTTAATGTTTTCTTGCGTGTTTGGTTGATGCTTGCAGGAACCTGAATCATCTCTTATGAAGAAAGATGATTGTATTAGAGAATTAGAAAGTAACTTGCATGAGCAGAGAGTGGTTAATAATCATCAATTTGAGGAAATAACGTTACTTAATGAAAAGTTGCACAGTGAAGCAAGAAGAGTGAAGTCATTGGAGAGGGAGAGTGACCGGCTCCGTTCAGAGATTTCATTATTAGAGGCAAAGGTTGGTAGTTTGGTGCGCTCACAAAGCACTGTAATACACTCATACATAGTAGAATTTTCAATTTTCATTTTGTTAATATTAGTCCTGGTTGTTTCTTATGTCTGTATTACTTCAGACTGCTCATTTAGCCAAGCTGTCCAGATTTTCGTTTTCATTTTAAATTATGACAGGCTAGACATTGTTTTTCCTTCTGTAGTTGGGCCATGGTGATTTTTCTGCTGCTAATACCAAAGTTCTGCGGATGGTGAATACACTTACTGTTGACAGTGAAGCCAAACAAACCATAGAGGCACTGCAAACTGAGCTACAAAAAACAAAAGAGAAATTAAAAGCTGTTGAGGAATTGAAAGGTCAATCAGGTATGAAACCTTGTAGTTACAGAAGATGTAAGGGTCTACATGTTCTGTTTCAGAAAAGAGTTTGGTAATACAGGCAAGAGAGGGTTGAGGGAGGAGACTGGTTTTGAAGCTTTGGAAAGTGGTTCTGCATTTTGTAGTATTAAGATAAGCACTGAATGGAAGAGAGTATAGTGTCTAGGTTCTTTAATTGTGTTGTCCCCATTCGTTTTGCTGAACTTCTGAGTACAGATTACTACTGTGCTGGCGCTAGTATATATGATATTTATAGATGAAACTAAAAAGGAATCATGAGGTAAAATTCTGTTTTTGTTTCTCTAATGGGCACATTTATCACCTGTAATTACATTTTTGCTTCTTTGAGAAGCCAGTTATCAAATTTCTGGCTTCCTGCTAAAGAGTTTATCCCTGTTTACTAGACCAGATAGCTTATTCTTCTTAATCACAATTCTATTATATTGAGAATTGAGAATTTAGCTTGAATTACCAACTAGAGTATTTTAATTGACGCAGCAAATTTGACGGTTGTAATCTATATAGTTAGGGTTCTAACTGGGTTTGGATGGGGTAGATGAGCATACTTCTTGTGCAAAGGTTTTGAGCTTTAAATTATGATACTACGAGTGAATTTTTTGTCTAGTATCTGTGGAACCAGTTTGGATTGCTTGATGTGAATCAGAGCTTTTAAAAAGCTTCCAATAAAACGAATATAAGTACACGAGAGATGCCAAGAGGGTCCCTCTGCAAGTTGCTAAAGTAAAAGCAAAAAAGAGAGAAAAATAAAATAAACGAACATCAATATACAAATGAAATGTGCATTCCTATTCATGATATTAGCCCGACCTCTGTCCTTGTAAACAGACATTGATAGTAATGAGAATTTTTTTAAAGGTGAAAAGCGCATTTAAGGCCTTAAGGATGGTCCAAAGCTTCCAGTACTCTTATTCACAATTGAAAATTAATGTTATCATTTGTATGGGCTTTTCCTGATCACTGCTAACTGTTTAGGAGAAGCTGGAAAGCTGGTAGATAGCTACATATCAGATAAGATTTTGCAATTAAAAGAGCAAATTGCAACCCTTGAGAAGCGAGAAGAAAGGTGAGTGTATAACATGCTAACTTTTGATAAATTATTTGTTGTTGTTGTCATGATGATTCTGGAATAACTGAAACACTGAATTATCAACAGATACAAGACTGTTTTTGCAGACAGAATTTCTGTCTTCCGGAGGGCATGCTGCGAGCTTTTTGGTTACAAGGTTTGTATATACTGATCTAGTTTTACTTCAATCTTCTTTTATTATTATCCTTGTGTGTAAATTGAAAGTCTTTTGCACCAAATGGAGTTGCTTTTATTTCATTTTTAGATGACCACATGCTTCTGCTTGGAAAATATTGTAGCATCCCAGTAGAGATGTAATTTGGTATGGGAAATCTCAAAGCATATTTGATTTGTAATTACTATATATATTCTCACAAATTTTGTATGAAGCTTATGTTGGAAGGTGGTTTGTATAACACATTGCTTATAGTGGGTTGGGTGATTCTATGCATACAAAAGGTGGGGAAATACAACTTCATGTTGAAACCTTTATGTGTAGGTCGTCATGTTGCTTCTGCATGTAATGTCTGTTGTTTTCTCTCAAAAAATATTTTTGTCGATTGTGCATTTTCCAGTTAAGTTCTTTCTAACTGACAATTGATTCTATGATAATTAACACTATTTATCTTTCTGCCGACACTTAAAATCCTTTTGTGGTTGTTGATACCTATATTGGCAGATTGTGATGGATGAACACCAACGTCCAAATGGAATCCCAGTGACACGATTTACCTTGCAGTCCATTTATGCTCAAAGTGATGACGAGAAGCTTGAATTTGAATATGAATCAGGGAATACTAACATTTTGGTAAGACGTTGAATTTTGTATTTGATTTAGTAAATAGAGAGAGGTGATTTTACTTTGTTAATTGCATACCACTAAAATTTAGTTTGGGTTGATCTTCAAGATTAAATTCTGATTTTTTTGTCAACAAATAATTCGGGTCTCCTGATAGTCTCTAAGGAAATATGTTCTGAGGTTGTTTAAACTTTTGCAAATGAAGGTAATAATAAACACTGAAAATTTTCTATTTTCACTTTTTTTTTCTCATGATAACAGGTAAATCATTATACATCTCAACCTGAGGTTTCTCGTCAGGTAACAAAGTTATCTCTCTTATCTCAAGCATAAATATGATCATGTGTATATTGTGATGGCTTTGTTTGAGCCTTTGGCGTGGCTTCTTGCTTCTAGGTTTTGGCATGAAAACCTTTCCATATAGAGAAGATATTTTATTTTTTAGCAGAAATTGTTTTTGACTAAAAATGTTATTTACTAAAATAGCACATTTCTACTATGTATTATAGGAAAGGAAAATATATTTTGAATAATTTAGAAGATGTTTATACAAAAAAAAGTTTTGCAGAAAATCATTCATTTAATGATATTGAATTAATAATGGAAAATATTTTTTATATATATTAGGCTCCAAGAATAAAAAACTACTGAAACGTTGTGGAAGTTTATTTTCTACAGCCAGATCCTTTAGTTTTATCTCAAGAAAAATAATCCCTCGTATATGCACAGAAGACTTTGGTGATTGTGACTGAGAATCAATAGGAACTGGCGATGGAAAAATAAACAGAAGACTTTTGTGGAATGAGTGAATGACAATTGCCATCATGCATATAACTTTTACATATTCATGTTTCTCTTGCTGAGTCATACTTACGTTCCCAGGTTGAGATATTCATTCGGAAGATGAATTCAATTCCTGCCTTCACTGCCAACATAACGGTGGAGTCTTTCAATAGAAGAACCCTGTCTTAAAGTTCTGGAATTTGGTCAGCTAGTAAGGCTGGTACTACTGGACATGGTTTGCTTTCTGGGAATGTAGAGATGGATGCTTTGGATTTGAAAAATGTCACATTTTTTCCTTTTAAATAATAAGAGTGAGGTGGAATTTTGGGCATACAGACTTGTACTGAGGTGAATTTCATCGTGTTTCGTCCTTTGGCCGTTCTTAATATTACATATGATTTTTCAATTTGGGTGCTTGTTATGTTTTATATCATAATAATTTCCGTGGTTGTCACGATGCGGGGAATCGGAGCTTGTGCTCTATGTTCCAATTGTTTCATAGGGAGAAAACCTATTTTGTTGCTATTTTTTCACCAGAGTTTAGGGCCCTTCAGATAATTTCTTGTAATAAAGTTTTGCACGGATGAAAAATTACATCAATTTAATCACCGTGAGGAAAATGAGGTAAATTTTAATAGTAGGACCAAATTACGACAAATTTTAGTAAGTGCGGGAACTGTAAATGTGATCATGAGATATTAAATTGAAAACTAACAGTAGGATATCTAAAGAGGATGTCTTCCATAGTTCTATTGTCGTTTTTTAAGACAATGGCTTTTGGTGAAGTAAATACTTATTTTAGCTTTTTAAAAAGTAAATGTAGATTACTCTAATTTCATAAAAATTTGACTTTAGTTTTAAATTTTAAAAAATAATTTATTTACTTTGTTTCTTGTTATGGTTTTGTATATTTAAAAAAGAATTAAATAAAGTCAAGGATTAAATTTAAAAATATTGTATTAAAATGAACAATGTTTACCATTCTAAAAACTAAAGTGAATTTTTATTTTACGACCTCTCCACTTACTCATTTTCTGTGTGATGGCCTAGACGTGTTGACCATCCTTTGTTCCTCGTTTTCTTTTAGTTTTATTCCCTAGTAGTGGCGAGAGTACCGGCAACCAATGGGTGGCCTGGGCTAGCAAGGTAGCCATTATTTATGGTATATGTCCTTATTATCAATCACTTAATTAGTCTGCCTGAAATGATTGCATGAGGCAAAGAGGGACTAGGTGATTTCAACCAGCGCAAGGACTACAGTAGCGATCTTATCGAGCATAAATGGATTAGAATATGAAATTTTGACATGATATATTGCATGTGAAAAACTTGTGTCTATTTTTTTTACATTAAATAAGTGGAATTTAATATAAATTTATAAAAATTATTAAAAAATAAACACAAAACATTCACATGAGAAAATGAATAAAATGTCTATTCTCATATGGAGCTTATGCTTAAATCACCTTACGACTCACAATAATGACAATACGCTGAAAGTTATTTTATTTATTCATTTTAAAAAGAAACTGGAAACTGGACTGAAGTTTGTAAAGTATTTTGGATAATGTACAAAAAATTGAACTTAATGGATTTAATTCATTGCTTTCTAGTTCAATTGTTTAATCATAATCAAATTGGTGATAATTAAATAAATATTTTTAATAATATATTAAGTAATAAATTAATATAAAAAAAAACCATAATAATTAGAAGCTTAATAATCAATAAATAAGTTTTCGTAGCTTCGCATTCAGCTTACATTTAGCTAAAGGAAATTTTAAATTTAAAAAAAAAATAAAGAAAGTAGGTTCATTGATCAATCATTTTTTTAATTGAATGAATATCCGACTGGTTCATAAGTTTTTCACCCTAAACCGGTCGGTTAAATCTGTTATTTTAACTAATGTTTTAGACAGTATTTGACCTTTTTAAATAATGTTGTGGTATTTAATAGTAGTTCAACCAACATTTGTTCCATAATGTTGATGGATTAAGTTCAGTGGCCGTGTGCTGACGTAAAATTGTGAATATGGGAGAAGCCTCTGTATTCTGAATATTATAGGTGAGACTGCTACTGGGGATCTAAGATAGTTAGTGGATATATATAGGGGAGAAAAAGGTGTGATTGAGGAGGGTTTGAAGTTGGAGTTGAGTGCCGGGTTTGTGTGAGTGGTGGTGCACACTTGCGTTTTGTCAACCAATTGGAGTGGAATGTTTATTCGTGGTGCCTACTGCGCACTCTGAATCATATGGGTGGAATTGGTTGCAGGCCCAAATGTCGAATTGAAATTAAACGTATTTGGCTGCTTTTCTTAGGGTGGATGGTTATTACCTATTATTGCTATTTGAATTTGATGCCCATTTTGACATGAGCTGCTAGTTTCCATTTCTTACGTAGTTAACCTGTATTGTGATTGTCCAGTCACTGAGGAGGAGTCTGGAGCCACCTTTGCAATACATAATAGATATGCTACGTAGCCATGATTTGAGTGATCATTGACGACACCACATACACTACTGCAAACATGATTTATACAATTTTAAACTGCTGATAGTTCTAATATCAATGAGTTCGGTTTCATTTTTCTCATGGCCACGTATAAAGATTAATAGGACGATTTGTGTTGAGATTGGAAACAAAAATCTAAGTTAATTTTTCTCCACCCCTCTTTCTCTTCCTACCCTGAATTGGGCCGGGTTAGGAATAGAGTGGTGAAAACAAATTTAAACTAAATGATTTATTTTTTCACTTAACCAGATCTGTCTTCTCAACAAAGTGGCTCAGGGCAAAAGACCTCTTTGCTATATATAATTAACAATCATCGCAACTCAACCCTGCACAACGATCTCTCTCTCTCTCTTGGTGGAGATCTCTTTTTTCTTCACCTTATATTTTTTGATTATTAGCTTTTGTTATATGGATTGTTACTTTAATGATTATTTCACACAATTGTCTCATAATTAATTGGATTTTGGTAATGGTTATACCAATGAACCATAGCCGTGGAGCGTGCGAAGTCTCAAACTTCTACTTTATAGTAGTGGTGCTTAACATTAACCGCACAAATATTCTAAAACTATCCACATCAAGCAATATTCATGTCAACCATATTCCTTGCACTACTCACTCTCTGATTCAGATAACTCACTACAATTTTTTTTATTTTTAATTTGAAATATCATAGAAACTTCAAAGCAGAAAATATTCATTCCATTCCATTGAAAGTTCATTTGCCTGGTTCTCTTTAACCATAAACCTATCTTTACCTATTCATAAATCATAATCTGAGGTGGGAATACTAGAATAGTGAACAATTCTCATATAAACACAGATACAACAAATCAAAAGTTCACGATGTATTGTAATAATAATATGATCCATAGGTCATGGTGAACTGTGTTCACGTATGCTTTGCCTACCTGATATTTGGAGGAAGATAATTTATAGTAAGACAATTTTCCTGGCAATGAGATCAAAGTTTATTCCGCCTCTTAATTCACTATCCACCATTGTTTCAGGGTCTGTAGGTTAAGTTATGACACTCCATGCGATTAAGAACACCAAAGTCACCACGAAACAGCACCCAACTTATGCGCATATCCTATGGTCTATAAGTGTTAATTTGATGATATATTGATTTTCATATGTTGTTCTAATTTCTTCTACAAATGACCAATTGTGAGGGAAGTTGGAATTAGTAACTTCTTGAAAAATCCTTAACTAGTCTTGTCTCTTAATTTCTTTAGCTTTCATTACATTACAGGTTCCACGTGTACCCCGTTTTGTGGCAATCCTACGCCTTAATTTGTCATCTGACGCACCGTTCCTTTTATTTCTCGAAGACCATGTTCAAATTTGGCATTTTATGTTGATGAATTGACTTCACTAATATATATGTTCAGATTCTTCGGAATTCACAAGCCAAAATAGGGACCTAAGCATGTGCAACTAACACCTTCCTTGAAGGAATCATGATCTGATAGAAAGAAAGGAGAAATGAAAATTTTGACATCTCACAAATAAGCAAACAAATAAAATTTCATAGTGCAAACCATGCTTTGAAAGTACAATAATACGGCAGGTTTGGAATTACAAGAAGTCAAAGCATACAAATTTGAATGCAAGAAAAAGGTGTTGAAGCCTGCATGTGCATGGTCGTGAAATTTTCATTGATTTGTATTAGCCGAAAAAATGAGTTGGTGAGCGGAGTAGTACCAAGTCTGAACTTTGAACCATGAAGTCCTCCAAAAGAAAGGGATGGTGTAGACGAATCCTTGTGGGGTGGGATGACCCATCCACCAACCCACACAATCTATCTATATATGGCCCTTTTTGACTTTACATTAGTTGTGCTTTGACAAAACTCGGTACAATTCAAGGGCTTGTATCCAAAGTTTATTGTTTGAGTTGACTTTACCAACATGTGTGCACGCACGATCACGAAGAAACACATCAAATCAGTTTTTAAGGCATTCCAATTTCCACAATGCCACCGTCTTCCAAACACACATGTAATGTAAAATAAGCTTTGTTGGCCCCGGACACGCGCCGAAGCTAACCCACACAACACTACCTCAAGGGCGCTAATAACACCCAATGACTTAAAGAGCAATGCTTTTAGTGGTATCGTGGCTCTTTCAGTGGATGGGTGAGAGCTAATTAAGTAAACCTTTGAAATAATAATAAGTAACGCACATCCAATGGCTTTTTCAGCACCGACATAAGGGAAATGCCAATGCAATAACAGGCTCCCATTATCTTTCAAGTGAAGACATTCTTTTCATTTATATGGATAAACTTGGAAAGAATGATTGAATATTTGAAGGAATCTATACAATATTATGTAGCATACAACATTAATTATTCAACTCTGTTTTCTCTTAAAAGTTTGTCACGTACGTCAGTCTTGAGGTTGTGTTTTCGTGAGTCTGACTGAGAAAATTCACAATGATTTTGCCTTTTGGGACTGCCTATCTCATCCTTGTCTCTGTTTAACACTATATATCTTTTATATATGTTAAATTGAAAAAATAAAATAAAATTCTTTCACACGTACCCTACAATGGGGTGCAATGGGTGTAATTTATTTTATTATATAAAAATAAATTAAAAACATGAAATATAAGGTAAAACTGACTTTAATATTTTGAAAAGTTTTTGATAATAACGTGCAGAGTTGATTTATAAATTATAAAACTGTTTTTCAAATATAAAAATATATGTGTGTGTGAAATTCCTTTCAAAAAACCAAGGTACCCAAAAAAGAAAAAATACAAACAAAATAAGCCAATAAAGTTTGGTAGCAAGTATTCACATATGACTCAATTTTTACAAAGCTGACTTTGAGTCGTAAGAGGTAGTTGGTAGAGCACAAGTCTAACTCAATCTTTTGAATAAAG